CAGAAAAATTTTTGTGCCAATGGAGCTTCTTACCGTTGCCGCTAAACCACAGAAAGTGAAGAGAGAACTGGATGAATCACAGAAAGCCAAATTGATTCGGGTGAGTTTAACGTGGAGATGTGAATTTTGCTGAATTTTAAGAGAATCGGGATATGTGCGGTGGGCGAGAAAGAAGTTGTAAGTGAATGCAGAATCTGAAAAAATTACTTACTGGAAAGAAGTCAGTAAAATGGGAGAGTATGTTTTGCATATGAGTGATGAAGGAGAGCCAGGACAGTGAAAAATTTAAGAAGTTAGGAGCAACAATGGTCAAAAGCGCAACTATCAGGTAACAACTGATGGCTGTATAGATCGTAAAAATGAACATCTAATGCTCAACGCATGAGGGTAATTTTAAAGTGATGGGGATGTGATGATTATGTGTGAATAGTAGAATAAAAGGATTGGATTTAGGTATCATGTATAAAAAGACATTTTACAATGCAGCAGTCTGTGTTTCATCCCTTAGCTGTAGTAAACGCAGACTGAATTATACGTCCGGGTAGGAGCGGGAATCATCAGTACAGCCTCCTCTTATCCGCCATATATTGAACAGCCCCACGTAATTAATTTGCAAGACGGATATGTGAGAGAAGGAGAAAAAACAGAGAAAGATCAAACGGAGTAAGAGAGAAGTGAAAGAAAAAGGCAAAAACACTAATTACAGGGAACTATTTCGAGGAAATGTGTGAAGACTGCTAATGTGCCTGTACTGGTCCATTGTAGCCATTAATGGGCCTGCACAAGCGCTATGTGAATCGGTTTTTCAGGGCGCAGCAATGGAACCAAAATTGCGAAAAGAGCGCATTGAGCTGATATTGAATGATCAGGACCTGGACAACGATGTTTTTCTGAAGAATTACAATGTCAAAGTTGAACCGGACATGATTCATCTAAATGGAAGAGTGCTGGACGCACCCAAATTGGAATTGTTTGTAAGTAGTTCTTTTGCCGCTTCATTTTTTACGCGTTTTTTATTTTTGTGTCTGTGTTTTTGTTTGTACCGACTTTTCATCTCGAGATCTACATGTATGTGCTGGCCTTTGTCTCCAAAATGGACGTCTTTGCCTACGTGACTCCCACGTTCGAGCCCGTGAAAGTTTCTGACGGGAAACTGCTAACTTAGGGATCTGAAAAGCTAGAAAGCTGGAATTTTAAAGGGATGTTTCTCGCCCACGCAGAAAATAATGACTTCAAACCCTGTTTCCCGGTTTGCGTGGTTCTCACGTAACGGCCCATAAAAATTTTTTGCGGATAATTTGCTAACTCGGAAACCTGAAAAGCTAGAAAGCTGCAATTTTAAGGGTATGCTTTCTGACAATCATGGTGGCCAGTCTCAGTTCTTCCACTTAGAAGCATCTGCCGGATAAAACAGTGCCGTTAGCGATGCATACCTCTGGACAGCTGCGCAAAAACGCATCTTCGTACCGACAGACGGTACGCTGGCCAATTTTTTATGAATTCCACTGCCGAAAATGGAGTGTCGAAAATGAAGATTTCACATACACACCACCGTGGAACGACGAGGGTGCATTTGCTTTCTTGTTTTCCTGCTTGTTGCCGGGGGCACCCCTCTTTGCGATATTGTGGTTTTTTTTACAGACTGATGGATCTGGGCGAGTGAAATCCATTGAAGTTGAAAATGGTAAATGGCAGTTGTGTAATCAGTTCACATCATCGCCTT